TTTAATCAGTAATTTTTTATTTTTTTTTTATTTTTTTTAGTTTGAAAAATCACCAACAAAATATATTTTAATTTTAATTAAAATAATTTGTATCAAAAATGTTTTTTAAATGTAATTATTATTTTTGGTAAATGTAACTAATTTTTTGTTATATTTGTTTAATTTTATAGATCTAAATACTTTTTGGTTCAAAAAAATGTTTAGGGACTTAATCGTTTAAAATATGAATGTTCATTAAGTTTTTTTTCTGGATTTTTTCCATTATTTTATCACATTAACTAGTTGTATAGGTCATAAGAATATATATCTAACAGGTTTTAAAAAGTCCAAGAAGTTATTTAACATGTTTTGGAATGTCCAATGATTTATTTGTTCCAAAAAATTATCTAATAACTTAATCATTTCAAACACTAAAGTCCATTGATTTTTTTTAGATTTTTTCCAAACCTTTAATCAAAAGTTGGTTGTAATGACTTTCAACAAACAAAATGATAAGAAAAATAATTTCGAAACAAATAGTGTTTGTGTTGTTGTATCAACAACTTTTAGTACTTCTACTAATTTGTACATTCATTATTTATGATTATATTCGTATCATTTCTTGTATTTTTAAACATTTATTAAAATGTTAATATTAATAATTTATAATTTAAATATATAAAAACATAATAAAGGTATACTATATATATATAACGGTTAATAGTTTAAATTTGACAGGTATTAATCTTTATACATTGCGTACCAGTTTTGAAGCTAAATACCTGCTATTAAACTTTCACGTTTTCAAGATAATATTAAAATCAAATAATTTTTGTTTTTTAAGTACACTTTACACTCTTATAGTTAGTTATTTAATTTACTTTATATCAATTTGTTTTTAATTTTATACATTATCATATTATCATACATAATCGTATATTAATTAAAATATGTTTCACTTTTTACAAATTATACCATTATAATCGTCTCATTAATGACTTCAGAATGAATCTAATACTGAATATTTTTTGATTTAATATCATATTATTAAATAACATAAATACATAGTGAATTATTTTTGAAACTTTCATTTTGTACCTTATAATTACCATATTTAATTTGTTTTATATTACTTATTTTTTTCATTTCTATTTTACACCCTTAATTAACAAATTTAAAGTTGTAGAACCCATAACTTTAAATCTCCACATACCAGGATAATATTAAAGATCAAATATATTTTTTATTTTCAAATTACAATATATACTCTTATAATCAGTTATATAGTTTGTTTCATACCACTTACTTTTCCATTTTTATCATATTAAAACAAATAATCGTATATGAACTTAAATTATTATGAAGTACATTTTTTTTATAAATTACATAATTATAAGCGTCTCATCAACATCTTTAAAATGAATGAATAAGTGAATATTTTAAATATTATCATATTATTAAATATCATAAATATGTAGTGAATTATTTTTAAAATTTATATTTAATTTGTTTTATATTTCTTAATTTACACCTTTATCTATCTATACTATTTATATTATATTATAAAACATGTAAAACGGTTATTATTGAATTTTTAAGAGGTATAAATTTTGATCAGTTATGTACAATTTTTGAACCTTTACAACATCCACGTTCAACATGATAATTAAAAATAAAATTATTTTTTATTATTAAATTACACTTTATACTTTTATAATTAGTTATTTAATTTACTTTAAATATCTTATTTTCCTGTTTTTCATTTTACATCTTCTCATATTAACATATATAACTATATATTAACAAAAATATATTTAAAAACGTTTATTTTTTTATTATAAACCATTATAATCGCTTTTTCAATACATTCAAAATGAATCAAATATTGAATATTATTGAATTTAATAATATTATTAATTATGATAAATATGTATTGATGTTTTTTTATCTTAATTTTTTATTTTACACTTTTATCTATCTATACTATATTATTTATTATTGTTGTTGAATTTTAACTGTCATCTATACATTATTTACAAGTTTCTAAAGCCCCCACCCCATCATCCCCTTCCTTTCCGACATTATAAAGTAGTACTATCTACACTTAATATTCACTCATCAAATATTTTATGTTTTCAAGACGATGTATATTAAAGAGGCTAATTAAGTATTTTATAGATGCAATAAATTGCTTAAATTCACAGAGTAATTTCAAGATTCAATATATCATGTTATTTTACATAGTTCTATTTTGATAAGTTCGCCTTATAGTTTTTTCTTGTTTGAAAAGTATAATACTATGATATTTGGAATGTTTACAAATACCGTTGACCTTTCAAAAATGGGATGAAGACTGAAGTTGTCAAAACAAAATCTTCAAATTCTTTTCAGATTTAAAGATGAACCATCTTCTTCAAAAAAATCCCCTATTTGATGGATGATTTTTATAGGCTTCAACTTTCGTTTCTCATATAATTATCAAAATATCATTTTACCTACAAACAACGTCATAATTTAAAGAGTAGAACATTTTACAAATAATTAATTAATTTTTTTACAAGAAAGTTTTGCATTTAGTTGCGTTGCAGTGGACACAAAACTAGTGTGTGTGTGTATATATATCATGTCCAAGTCATTTTTTAATAAATAATGTAAAGTATTGTTACTTATGCTATATTATAAATCATTTGACAAAAACTCTTAMAAACTATTTTTTATGCATGAAATACTGTTTATTAATGCATATTACTTAAAATTCAAAATTACAAGTAAAATATGCCTAAGTACAACTTACTAAAGCTTCATGTTTAAATTCGTGTAACTAACTGCAGATAAACATAACCAAATAGAGGATAAACATCTCATTTTAAATAAAAAAAATCTAAAATATAATTAGAATAATTATTGAGTTATAACAAAATATTTAATTATTATATTTATAAAAATTTATATTATTAAATAAAAAAATGAATTAAAAAAATATATAGAAAAAGTTGAAATTTTAAATAGTTAGTTTAATATTAATATCAATATTATTTTTTTCAAAATTTTATGATATATTAATTTTTTTATTTATTTAAAAATAAAAATATTACTGTTTTCTTAAAACCACATAAAATTATGTTATAACATCGATCGAAACAAAAATAGATAAAATGAAACATTAAATCAAAATGTGCAAATAACCTTTTGGTACATAATAAAAGATGAAGTCCACGGGGAGTAATGTTGCATGAAGAAACCTCAAGGCTAGGTCCCCATACCGGCTAGTATGCCATCGATGCGACGTAACTCATGGACGATCTTGCTGGAATCCATTCTTTCTCTCGGAGATTCCATGGAGCATGCCACCCCTGTTCTCGCCAATGAAATCATGCCCTCTTCCAATCTCTTCCATCTTCTCGCTTCATCMTCACCGGATCGACGATTGACATTTGTAGCTTCCATCTCTTCCTCCAGGTCATGCAGGAGTGCCGGTTCAACGATTTCCATAAGCTGATCAGGCAACGCCATCATCAYATAGCCATGGAGGTTCAACCCTTCTTCAAAACCCTCGTCTGTAGGCCTCTTTTCTGTTATCATCTCCAACAACAAAATCCCAAAACTATAAATATCCCCTTCTTTTGTCATCTCACTTCCAAGACCATACTCTGCCAACAAAAAAAACAGAATTAGGGTTCTAGAAAAAGATTGTAATGTGTGTAACTTTCTCAAGTTCAATTTATCGATTACCTGGAGCTGCATACCCAATAGTTCCTCTTATTCCAATCGAACTGCTTTCAGGAGGTTTTAATGGAAGAAACTTTGCCAACCCGAAATCGCCAATGTGAGCAACCATGTCATCGTCAAGTAAAATGTTGCTTGGCTTCAGATCACAGTGAATTATGGGTGTCTCACAGTCCTGGTGGAGGTAGTGGATGGCATTAGCCACATCCATTGCAACTGTTACTCTTTGGCGAAGGCTTAATCTTCGTTCGGTCTCCGTTTCTTGTCGTGGAGATGGATGTAGCCAACTTTCGAGACTCCCATTTGGCATGAACTCATAAATAAGAGCTTTGAAATCGTTACCTTGAAAATCAACAGATGAGCAGGAAGTAATGATTTTTACAAGATTACGATGCCTTATGTTTTTCAATGCTTCACACTCYGCCATAAAACTCTTCAGAGCTCCTCGGTTTCCAAGCTTTAGAACCTTGATAGCAACCATTGCAYCACCTGCTWCAAGGATACCCTTATAAACAGCRCWGAAAGTTCCCGTCCCAATCAGGTTTCGTTCGGARAATTCATCMGTAGCTTTGAGTATGCTTCCATAAGAAACCCTTGAAAATGGTTCCACAAGTGAAGCTCCTGTTGGCGGCTTTTGCCTTTTYCTTYTTTKCCAAAMAAACAACAAAGACAATGCGATTGCYASAACTAGAAACGAGCAAAGTGGGATGACAACTAGGATAACATGGAAACTTTTCTTTGATCTTGCTACCAGGTCACACTTGGGTAACCGAAGTTCAGGAACGCCTCCACATAGCCTATTGTTCCCATCAATTGAGATCGCACTTGCATTCTTGAAAATACCTCCCATTGGTACCTCCCCATCAAGATTGTTAAATGATAAATTCAACAAAGATAAAGTTAGTTGCTCTAAGGGTCTTGGGATCCGTCCGGAGATATTGTTGCTAGAAAGATCAAGGATCCTGATACCTTTTAAATTACTCATCCTGAGAGGTATTGGACCCTCAAAGGAATTTGCTTTCATATCTAGGTATTCAAGGCTTTTGCAGCTTCCAATGGCATCTGGGATTTCTCCKACCAAATCATTCTYTGATAGATCRAGKGTCTTCAAGTTWATGAGGTTTCTTAYCTCTTGGGGAATTAGTCCAGTTAAATGGTTTTGAGCAAGATTTAGTATGATCGACAGGGACGACAGTTGAAATAGCTCTTTTGGTATTGGACCAGTAAGATTGTTTACAGAAAGGTCCAACGTTACCAAACGTCTGCAGTTACCAAGATCTCGAGGTATTTGTCCCTCTAAGCTATTGTCATTCAACCACAATTCATTCAACAATGACATATTTCCCACAGAATCTGGAATGCTCCCARTGAAGTTGTTYTCATKTAGGTATAATAGTCTTAGGTTTTGAAGMTTACCAAKTTCACTAGGAATTATGCCTGTGAATTGATTATGTTGCATACCTAATCGCTCTAAGTTCACAAGATTCCCAATCCCAGAAGGCAATAAGCCATGTATTAAGTTTTCATGAAAAGATAGAACTGTAAGTTGAGATGATAGATTGCCTAAAGAACTAGGAAGCACTCCTCTTAATTGGTTTTGATGAACAAGTAACAGTTGTAGGTTGCTACAATTGATCATGGTATCAATGAAGTTCATATCATCAGGTTCAGAACTTCCTAAACTGTTGTTAAATAGCCCAAGATGCCTAAAATTTGGTATGTGTCTGAAATTTATGTTAACTTTCCCAGTGAAACTGTTCTCAGCTAAGCTAAGCTCTGCCAAGTGTGAACAATTAGAAAATGAGAACGGTATGCTTCCTGTAAGTCTATTTCCCCATATCTCGAAAGTCTCAAGATGAGGTAGCTGCAAGCCTATATCTTTTGATAGACCTCCACTGATTTGATTATCTGGGAGACTAAGAACCGTTAAAGATGTTAAATTGTACAAGGATGGAGGGATCATACCATGGAGTTGGTTCTTACCAAAACCCATWTTTTGCAAATTGTACAATTGACCAAAAGCATCTGGAATATTTCCTCCTAGACGATTGTCGAAGGCTGATATGGCTTCAAGAGAAGTTAGGTTTCCCAAGAAAGATGGTATTCCTCCCGTGAAACTGTTAGCATGAAGGGTTAGGATCATGAGGTTCACCAGCGAACCAAGCTGTTGTGGGAGCTTGCCAACTAGTTTATTGCGTGCCAACCAAAGTTCGTTGAGGCTAGTGCAGTTTGACAAACTGGCCGGAACTTCACCTTCAAAAGTATTGTTCTTGAGAATTAGCCTCTGCAACCTGAATAAACCACCTAGTTGAGGTGGGATTACACCATTGAAGGYATTATKCCCTAGMCTTATGACTCTGAGAAAGGTCAAGTTCCCAATATGAGGAGACAAGGAACCAAAAAGGCCTCTAGATCCAAGATCCAATTTGGTGACTCTAGGATGGCGGCGACCACATGTAACACCTTGCCATTGGCAGAAATGGAGGGAGGTGTTCCATGTGTCAAGAACTCGTTGTGGATCATTGCTGATGCACTTCTTGATGGCCAAGAGCGAAAGGTGATCAGTGTGGTTTCCGGCAAGCGTAGGCGGCCATAACAAGACTGCTATTACTGCATGGAAGAAGAGAGAGAGGCATGCCATGAACAAGTTTCTTTTATGTTTTATGACACATATATTTGTGGGATGGTTTTTAAATAGCTATGAACTGAAATTGAAAATAAAGTTTTGCCGAAAAACAGTAATATATGATGGGGACTGAAGTGAAGTTTTTTTGGATTGTGACCAAGTCTTGGTCTTGTTTGTAAGAGTATTTCGGACGCTCACTGAAAGTTGAAACTCCATTAATCACTGATGGAGATATACGTGTGATGATTCTTAATTGATGGTGATGAATGCATTGCTGAATGGAAGGATAATTGAGGTTGAAACAAAAAAACAGATTTCTAGTGGGGACCAAATTATAGTACTTTGATAGGAGAAAGATTGTGAATTTATTGCAGAGACCAAGAAATGATCTTTAGTTTCTTGGTACAGCATTTAAACTTGATTTAAGCCCCCATCCCCATGGTTAGATTCTACATTACAGTTGAACTTGATTTAAGCAGCCATGGTTTAGCTACAATATTTGATCTAAGAACAAAAGTGGAAACGAAAACCCATTGTTGAGACAAGTTCTATGAAATGCTTTTAATGTTGTTAAAGATTATGGCTTTTGTTTCATCTTGTGGGTTCACTAGAATGAATTTGAATACCCAGACAGACCACACTTGAGTACTCAGTTGCCTGGATTTTATAAATTGTTTTGTTAGTGTATAACAGTATAACTTAGGGGAGTGCAAATGGCACCCCCTTAGTAGGGGTGTGGAATCATTGGAAATTGTGTCGTCATAAACATCAAATCAATTTAATTATATTTAATTATTATTATTTAATATATATATATATATATATATATTAAGTTATAATTATATATATATATATATATATATACTTTCCATCGTATACTTTAATATATTATATAATATATTTTATTTA